AAAAAAAAAAAAAAAAAAAAAAGAGAGGCTGATGGAGAGCCAGAAGAAGCACCCTAATGTTTACTCGAGTCAACCCGGCAAGAATTTATAGAGAATGCACTCTTCCTCGGGCAGCAAGCCTGCTGCTGGGGGCAGTGATGATGAAGATGGTGATAAGAGTAAGAATTACAGCAGGAGCTATCACATACTGAATGCTTACCAGTTACACTCATTCGCTCCTCCCCCAAACCCTACGGGGGTAGCTCTTATTGTTATCTATATTTTTGTAATAATAAAAAAAAAAAAATGAAGGCACAGAGTGGTTAAGTAACTTCCCCAGGGTCACAGCTAGTAACTGGTGGACACAAACACAGACAGGCTGGCTTCCGGGTCTGTACTACCAGCCACTACACAACACTGCACCCTAAATATGAGTGAGGAGTAATATGCGTAGGACTATCCTGCACCCAAAGCCTACAGTTTAAGCGGGAAGACAGGCGAATAAACCTCCAAGGAGCGCATAAACCAGCCCAGGGTTCAGGAAAGGCTCCCAGTAGAGATCTGCTGAATCCCTCCATGGAGACCTGGAACACTGGAGGAGGAAGGGTCTCATGTAAGTCTCCAAGGAAACCCTTCCAACAAAGAGCTCGAAATTCTTCCTTTAAATATTGTCAACAGGGACTTCCCTGGTGGTGCAGTGGTTAAGAATCCGCCTGCCAATGCAGAGGACACGGGTTCAAGCTCTGGTCTGGGAAGATCCCACATACCACAGAGCAACTAAGCCTGTATGCCACAACTACTGAGCCCACATGCCACAACTACTGAGCCTGTGCTCTAGAGCCTGTGAGCCACAACTACTGAAGCCTGTGCGCGCCTAGAGCCTGTGTTCCACAACAAGAGAAGCCACCGCAATGAGAAGCCCGCGCACTGCAACGAAGAGTAACCCTCTCTCGCCGCAACTAGAGAAAGCCTACGCGCAGCAACAAAGACCCAACTCAGCCAAAAACAAATAAAGTAAAAAAAATATTGTTAACGATAATAAGGGTTTGCTCTGTCTTTCCAGCCTATGAGTGATTAGAAAATTCAGAGAGCAGGGTTTGTGCCCAGGAAACAAAGAGGCTGACAGGAGGAGAGGATGGAAAAATAATTAAAAGAGACAACGTGGGAATACAAAGAATATAGCAAAGGGCCCTTCCCATCTCAATGGGGTAATCACAGCACACCTCGAAGGCAGGTTACAGCATTAACCTAAGCATCAAGAAAAGGTTGATTTGTGCTTTATACGCTGTTTTAATAAGCAGGGAAACAGGAAATGGATTTTAGAAAGGCACTAATAGAAAGAGTTCAAGTACAAAATTGTGCTGCAAAAGCTTCTGTTATTTAGAAAATTCACTTAATGTGGAAAAAGTTCATTCACCAGGATGATGGCTAAAACGTGTGACAGATGCCGTGTCTGTTTTCAAAGGAGAGGGGCCTATCTCTACTGGCTATTCCACCAAGATAAGCCGTCCTCCCTCAAAGCCAGCATCCTATTGTTCCCCTTTGTCAGCTGGAGAAAATCTAGCTGCTCCGTGATTGCTGGAGAGTTTGGGGGCTGGTCTGGTTCAAAGTGACATTGAGTCTGTGGCTCTCATTTGAAGGCCACAGACTGCTCCCTTGGCAGTTCCTTCAAAAATTCTGATAGAAAAAGAGAAAAACCATTGCCAGGCACAGGATGAATCAGTGTTGACTGTGTTCCTTACCTGTTCTTCATAATGATTTCACCGCAGGACTGGCAATAAAACGTGCAACATTCTTGGGCTTGGGAGCTTTGATTAAACATGGAGATCAGTTCTAGAGGAAATCAAGGAAACAGCAAATCTTAGAGGTTTGGGACAAATCCATTAACATACTTAAGAGTTTAACAGCCGCAATAAATTACCACCAATAAGCACTCTTTATGATCTACCCAGAAGTACCCATTCAGTTAGTATTATCTGATGACCCAAGCAGAAGCAAATATTGGGAAGTGTTTTCAAAAACAGATTTTGCTACATGTTTCAGAGTTAGGTATTGCCCTAAATGATCTGTGTAACATAGATAACTCGCTATTTCTCTCATTCTGGAAATACCAACATTAAGGATGAGAGAAAAGGAGCTATTTCCTCTGCTATGCTTAGGGACAGTTTTTCCTCACTGTGACTGCCGGTAAACAGACTTCTTAAATTTAATTCGATTTAAACGAGGTTGATGTCCGCTCTGGCATCTTACCAGTATGTACAAACAAAATTCAATCTTGAAATTGGTCTTTATTGGGCAGGTCCCGGGGAATGAAACGGCTCCTAAGAAGAGTTCCATCTTCCAGGAGAGAAACTCAATTTCTGATTAAAGCTGTGGGAAAACATATATTTCCCATAGTATACGAAAGAGCAGTATAAGACAGTATGTTTCCTTAGTTTCCATTATTTCATTCATGAAGGAAACTTTCATTTCCAAAAACGCCCAAAAAACAAAATCCAAACCTACAAAAATATTTGTCTAGTAAAAAAAGTCTGAAGAAATGAGGTTATATCCATTAGAATCAAGCAATTTGAATTTGGCTCATGTTACTTTATATTTTAAGATTAAAAAAAAATTGATGTGAGAAAGTTTGAGCCTCAAGAGTTAAAAATTCTTCTGTTTAATAATTTCTAGGACTGCCCTGTAGCACTAAAGTGAAACAAACAGTATTCTTTAGCTCTGAGCAGATAATAAGTAGACCTGGGTAAGACATCCAAAATGTTCTTTTCAGAACCAACAAACAAATTTTCAGTGACATACTGCCCTCTGCTGCTCACCCAGCATGATGCAGGCTCAGGTTCAAGTCAGAACCTTCTGATACAGGGGCATCCTGGGAAGCGCTGCCACCTGGGGATGAATCCAATGCTGGTACTACATCAGATTTTACTGCAGCCAGTTCTGGGTCAAAGGTCAGGTCTGACCTATGCATTCAAAACAGTGTAACAATATGTCTATTGTAGTCCTTAAAAGAGCATTCTTATAGTTGAAAAATCAACTTTGTAAAAACCCTGAAACATAGACTGAATGCTATAAATGTTAAGACTCACTTCCACCACAGATTTTGATTCAAGTTTACATCAGTATGCACCTATTTGATATTTATTCATTCGGCAAATATTTATTCACCACCTATTATGCGGAAAGCACGAAAGCAATTAAATGCTGAGGAATCTATTTTGCATACCCCTTCATGCACTGCAGAACAGGGCTTTGAATGTTTTTCCTTTTCAGACTGTTGAGTAAAATATGTGTTAAAAATGTAAAGAAATTGGAGACCCATGAATGCCAACAACAGATGCAAACCAACACACAGCAGCCAATTTATTTTTTCCAACAGTTAAAACTAGACGGTAATGTTTGCTGATTTAAATTTTTAAAAATGGTTCAAGATTTGCTATTTAACTGTTATAGAATATGGGTAGGCAACATACCAATTCTGTCTCTGGAAGGTCTCTGTACCTCCTCATTATAGGACCTAAAATCATGGTCCCAGAAAACTAGCAGAAGATCTGAAAACGCTCCACTGTGGCTTTCACGCCTGCCTTTCTCTAGTTTCCTGATGTGACCCAAGATTCCTGCTGTGGGTACTGTTCATCATCGCTAAACACAGGTGATGACATCACAGGAGCCAGACTCCCAAGGCTTCTTCCCTGAAACAACACTTCCCCTACCCATCATGAGGTACCCTCAGAGCGTCTATCTCCCATCTTGACGGCCCCATTCTTCTTTCCATGGTTATTCCAACAGTCATTCTTAGGTTGATCCCATGCCACTTCAGCCCCAGGACATTTCTTTCCTCAAACCAACCCTGATCAACTCAGACTAGTTATTCACTAATCCAGCACTTGAGCAAAATCATTCTCCAACAAAAAAGGAATGGAGCTCCCTCGACTTCTCTTTCCTTTCAAAAGCCAGGATAGAGATGCCAGGGAACACCTGACAACTCCTAAACAGCTCTTCAGTACAATCCTGTTGACGCCCTTGGGGCTGCATGGAGAAATGCAGATGAAAGGCTTCGCATCCAAGAGGCAACAGGGAAATCAAGTGCATCTACAAGAACTATAATCCTTCTCTGAGAACGAGTATCACATCCAGCTGTTACAGCCTCCGTTTCCCCTTTTTACATCATTTTTAATCCTCCGAAGCATATCACTCAATGGCAAAGAGGCAATGAACCAGTGAAGTCATTTGAAAAATTACTGCGAGAAACATTTCTACTGCCTTTCTGAATCAATGTGCCAACAACAAAATATTGGAAGCATCACAGGCATAGCAACAATCAAAGTCAAATGATGCATCAAACTCAATTCCAGAATCTGTATGTACTGTTCCCTCTAGTTAGAAATGTCCCGGACATCCCTGGCGGCGCAGTGGTTAAGAATCCACCTGCCAATGCAGGGGACACGGGTTCGAGCCCTGGTCCGGGAAGATCCCACATGCCGCGGAGCAACTAACCCCGTGTACCACAACTACTGAGCCCGCGCACCTAGAGCCCGTGCTCCGCAACAAGAGAAGCCACGACAATGAGAAGTCTTTGTACCACAACAAAGAGTAGCCCCCGCTAGCCGCAACTAGAGAAAGCCCGCACGCAGCAATGAAGACCCAACGCAGCCAAAAATAAGTAAATTCAATAAATTAATTAATTAAATGTCCCTACATGGATGTGATCATTTCCATCATTCAGTTCTCTGGTCAAACACTGCTTTCTCAGAGTGGCCTTCCCTGACCCTCATCTGCCCCTAGTCACGCCCTATCCCATTATTCTGCTTTACTTTGCCCACAGCACTTACCTCTGTATCCAAATAACTTGTGTGCTCATTACCTGTTCCCACTGATTAGAATCTTAAGCCCCATGAGGGCAGAGACCTTCCTAGCTTGCCCACTTCTGTACCCCAGCACCTAGATCAATGAGCTAATATTTGTTGAATGAATGAATTTCTACGTAATGCTTTAATATCAACCAGGTCTTGTACGATTGCCATCTGATTTCATCTTCCTATCAACTCTGTGAGCCAGGTTTTTTACAATTAAAGAAACAAAGCAGGGAGTATGTGGGAAATCTGTACCTTCTGCTCAATTTTGCTGTGAACCTAAAACTGCTCTAAAAAAAAAAAAGTGAAGGCTATTAGGAAAACAAAACACTTAAAAAAAAAAAACCCAAAGAAACAAAGCCTCAGAAAGGTTAAGTAACATGTTCAGTTGCATGCAGCTAATAATGGGCAGAGCTGGCAAAAAACATACATCTTCTGGACCCCCAGCTCATTCTATGCAGCTGATGAGCAGTGATTTTCACCTGGGAAAAGTTCAACCTTTCAAAGGAAAATAAAAAATCACCTTTGATTTATAATTAAAAAGCAAATGCAGAAACAGGACCGCCAGCACTACTCACTTGTGCAGAATTCCGCCCGCGCCTGCAGCCGCAGGTGCAGCCCGTCCCCGGCCACGTGCCGCAGCCCACGGCAGGAGGACGGGACAAGCCTGACCCCTGCTGGCAGCCAGAGCTCCGTGCAGCCGCCAGGGCTTTTCACCTGGAGCGAGGTCGGCGTTACGCAAACATCCACGGGGAGACCTCCTTCGTTTGGAACGCTGGAAATTAAAAATAACACACAAGAAATTATTTCTCATTGATGAAAGCCACATTATGAAAGAAACAAATACGGCCAAGGAGCTCTCTGTTCCTCTTCAATAAGGGCCCCTGGATTTAGTCACTGCCGTGGAAAAACAGCAGTGAACTGATCGTAAAGGAAACTAATCTATACTAGGTTTAGATGAGGTCAGAGAGTACTTTTCGCTGTCACTGTAACATGAAAGTTCAGAGACATATTTTTCATTCCTGC